TTGGGCCGGTGGTTCCTCAGTGGTTCCTCCGCCTGCCTTACAAGCACAAGATCCGGAGTTTGATCCCTGGTACCATAAAAAAAAAAAAAAAAAAAAAAATAGTCCTGTCTTCATCTAACAGTCTAGAACTCGCTTCTTTAAAGTTTGAAGTTATCTACCACCTGACAGAAAATACATAAAAAAGGAAAGGTAAAATTAACAAAATTCCAAGCCTTGCTGTGTAATTGTTGATCACATTTTTAATATGTCCCCATAAAAGCAAGAATTTCTTACAAATCTCAAATCTTAGGGTACAAATGGCCTATAGTTTCAACAGTATTTGTAGATAAACGTTACAAGGAAAAAAATGCCTAAGGTAGATCCACAGAGAGAGAATATTATTAAACACGTTAAGAAGAGTAAGTAACCTAAATAATCTAGGTAGACATAGGAAGTCTCAGATTGTAAGGTGAAAGGGAATAAGGTCTTACCATTTATTATCTTGCAATTTATTAAGTCATTACTTTTAACTCTTCTTTATCCCAACCTTTCTCTTCTTTTTTTACCATGTCTTTTGGGACATTTTTATTGCTCTTTGCCTTTACAAATCTTCCACTATATAAAAGAGAAATGACTAAGATTTTGTTTTTGTACAATTATATGATCTTGCTTCAATTATATTTCTCATCCTTAAAAGTTGTAGAAGACGGTAAAGCAGAAAAAAAATTCAAGCAATTTAGAAAATCAACCAGAGGCCAATCAGAAAAACTGAGCCTCAAATCTAACCACCAGCAATTTTTATGACTATGGTCAAATATTTCAAAAGAAAATGTTCTTGTCTAAAGTTTATACTGATACTTAAGATCATATATTAGTAACCTAGTTTAATTAATAGTAGCACAGGCACTTTAGGACTTTTCTATTTATTAAAGTGAAAAATTCAAGTGGATGAGATTATTAAAGGCATTCAGTTTTTTTAGTGTACAAATTTTTTTAAATGATTGATTTCTTCAAATAAGGATGCAAAGTGACACTTGCACTTTGTGTTTAAATCTCATTTAATGCAAAGGTTCCTCCACTTTTCCTCTGCACCTTGTCAAAGAAAGCCAAATTTCAGTAAAATTGCCCATGATCTGCATTTTGTTGACTTTACTCCTATGGTGTCCTTTTAGCATGCTCCTTTGTGCTGTGTACCCCCATGAGTGGAGAAATTCAGGGGCTTATCAAATTCCAATTTGTTCTTTGGCAAGAGATTTCACAGGCGCTAGGTACTATCCACTGACACTTATCAAAAGACACAATGTAAGGAAGATTTGTAGGTTCAGGCATTGCCATTCTGATCCATATGTATGTTATCAATTTTTCAACTTCAGTACACGAGGATCACTGCTTAGATTTGTCAATGCTTAAGAAATTACAAAATGGTCATATTCTAATACTCCTGTATATGTTAACTAGAATAATTTCATGTACTCTACAAAATTCTCTCAACATCTGGTTGTCTCAACGTAAGGCAGGAGAAATGTTTATCTCCAATTTTCTAGTTTTCAGAATCCTTCAAGATTCTTTCAAAGGTAACAAAGTTGTGTTGCTTTTAGTATGATTTTATTTGCATAGATTTGTTTTATTATTCTAATACTCCTGTATATGTTAACTAGAATAATTTCATGTACTCTACAAAATTCTCTCAACATCTGGTTGTCTCAACGTAAGGCAGGAGAAATGTTTATCTCCAATTTTCTAGTTTTCAGAATCCTTCAAGATTCTTTCAAAGGTAACAAAGTTGTGTTGCTTTTAGTATGATTTTATTTGCATAGATTTGTTTTATTTCACATTT